TCTTCAAAAGTAGAACGCGACCCAAAGCCGCGTTTATACTTTGCGTCAGCGTTTTGAGCGCACGCCAGCAACGACGACCATCGGCGACAGCCTGCCAAAAGCTAAAATTGCCCGCGAAAACGCTCAGAAAAGCAGGATCGATATCTATATTCCGAGTCGCTTGAAACGATACGCGAACGTGCGCTCAAAAAACTCTGAAAGCATACTATCATGCTTGAAAAGCAGCCAAGGGGGTGGCGGATTGCACTTCATTGTCATGAACCGGTGAACCATTTATACGTAAGCCCAAAAAGCCGTTTCAGTTATGGGATTTTTTTTCATTGAAACCGCGTGCCCCCACCCCGAGTCGAAAAGCGCCGAAAATTGCATGTTCTTCTGAATTGTTCAGATTGATGACCGACCAAACCCTCTCTGATGCCCATAAATGACCTTACAAGTACACCAAATAGGATTTACGCAAAACTTACTTATCGATGGAAATCCTGGCACTTGAGGCATCTGACGTAAGGCTGCACTGAAGATTGCTTCTGGATCGACATTATTGCCAACCAGGCGTTGCAATATTGTCCGTCCAATGGTTGCATTCGATTGCGACTTCAACGTACCCGCTTGGCCATACCCGCGGCCCATCACCTCATTAACTGGTACTTTACCCGTACGTACCTAAAAGAAAAATGTGTTAAAGGAAAGTTATTCGCGTCCGGAATATATTTAAAAACCAACCTTCTTCTGGACTTCTTCGAGTAGCGTTCTACCATTTAACTCGGTCCCTGGAGCAGCAGTTGATGCAGTTTTCTTTGGGATATTCTGAAAGCACTATGAGATCAAAGGTGGCAGACCAACCAGTTATTTTACAAGCTATTCTCAAATTATGAACAAATCATGAAATTAAACATACCGAGCTAACTTCCTTCAGCTTCTCCTCACTCTTCTTCTTACTGTGCCTCTTTTTCTTCAGCGATACAGAGTTTTCCTGAAGTTTTACATAGGTTATTTTGGAAAGTTCCTAGCTTCTAGATTATTAATGCAGCATAACCTCCAGCGGGAACTTTGTGACTATGGCTTTGTTTGAAGATCTATTTTCCTGTGTCTGCCACCTCTGTTCTTATAGGCAAATCATTAACCACTTAAGCACAGCCGTGTTTACTTACTAATAAGGGGTATATGACGAGACAATCGCAGAATTCCGCGCTGGTGAGTGTGGCGAAAGACGCCGCGTGCGACGGATGAGTTGTCGTGTTTGGTCGTTTATGTACGAGGGCTGGAGAGATGGGGAAATTCCAAAACGCCCTTCATTGAAGGTTTTCTTTTGCATAAATATATGAGTTTTGCTGCTGCAATTTACAAACTGATGCACACCGAGAAGTTGCCGTGAATGGCTGAACGACACGCCGCGCACGCGACAAACAACGACTGTCCTGTTCATCTATTCTCTTTGTACGGCGAATTGGGGAGACCCCGTATAAACGCTCTGCTCTCTGTTGTAAACTCTGCGGATATGACACGGTCGCATCCCGCACTATGATCATAGCCCGTGCCATTCCCTCTGTTCTCAACAAATTTTTTGATCACCCATTCAGTCAATGCACGATCCTCACATTTCTAAGATAGACGGTGACCTCTGAAATGCACTTACTCTTCACCCCGAAGTTCATAAGGATAGCGCCAACAACCCATCTTCGAGGTCGTCGCGAAAATCGGGTTCGCCAATCGCGTGAGTCGAGATTCGTCAGCCTATAAACTCGCTGCCTATCGCACTAGTCTCCAAGAGAGGATTGGGCCCCAAACATGCGTCTAGGAAACAACAGCAAGTGCTTAATTCCTTAACAAAAAATAGTAATCGAATACGCGTCGTACCAAAGCAGCAGAGATAACGTAATTTGGTATCGAGTCGCCTCTGCTTTCTGATAGACCAAAAGGCGAAGCGTGCGCTAAGAACATGACTCTTCCTCCTGTTTTCACTGAGCGTCCGCCGAGCTCGATCAATCGTGCAGGAGTTTTCCTTTGTCACTGCCAGCGGATTCGCCAGGCCCCAGGAGGATGTCTTGTTTCGCCCTCGACATCGCCGGCAGCTTGCCGCAATTATCTTCTGCGGCTTTGTTTTTCTTTTTATTATCAGGTGTCTCCCGCTATATATTCGCTGTAATGCTTAGAACCAGCTATGACTTAGTTCTGAGCATCTTCAACATATTCCGTTTCTCTTCCTTTCTTCTTCTTCATTTGGTGTTTCACATTTTTTCTTGTTCTAATGATTGTGAGAGCCTTACAAAGCGAGAGGCAATCGGGCACTGTCTTCGAAGGTCAACGACTTGTACTTCTTTTCCTCCAGTTCAAAGTGGCAATTTTTGAAGGAGCTGGCTTGAAACAGCAACAGACTTTTTCGTTTTATCTTGCTTATACCGTCGCTAACTCACCATTACACCACAACGGATACAATTCGTGAGTTCGCGCGATTCCACACCCAGTTCTCGACCAAGTCACTCCGATTAGGGACTAGAAACAATAGTTCTGAGCCAGCTGCCTTATACATTTTATAGGTTTAATCAAAAACCCGGTAAGAATAACTTCGTCCTCGAAAGTGGCTTGGTCTGCAGTTGCAGAATTTGCTTCACTTTTAATTCAATACTGAGTGGCGATAGAAGTACGACTGTCGCTAGAGAATTAAGACTGTCGCTGGCAGGAGTGCCATTTGTAAAGTTGTTCATTCTATTCGAGACGAGATGTGCCCATATTTATAAACACAGGTGTGATACTCTGCGATCATTCTGTGTAGGACCAACCTTCACCATTTCGCTGGTCTTCAGCTTGTCGTCCGGCTCCTTCATCCTCTTCCATCTGGTCTTGCAGCAGTGTTCTGCTGCTCCGTATCGTCGTCCACGCTAAGGCCCTATTTAGGGGGTCGTTGACGGTCTCTACTGTTTCTTCCTCGGTAGGTCAACTAGCGTTCATGAATGCCTAGACTCTACAGCTCAATCGGCAGTCGCGGAATGAATACTTCACCGAGTCATAGAGTAGAATGATAGAGTGTTCTCAGCGATAGTCAATACCTATTACTGTCCTAGCCGCTCAGAACGCTAAGAATAGGGGCAAAGTGGCGCAAGGTATGAACGCACTCTTATCGTCAGAGGAACACTGTAACCACCCGATGTGGGCTATTCCACCTTTCCGAATTGTTGTGAATACAGCGTTTCTCTTCCAACTGTGTTCACATGCTTACTGTTCCATCACTTCAAAAAAAAAGAATAAACAGACGAAAATCAAAATCGGACCAACCTTGTTGACAGCCATAGCTGTCACATCATTCGAGTCTGGTGGTGTGGGTGCGGTTGTCGCTGAAGACTTTGATTCCTGCAAAATCCAGTAATCCGGGAGGTAAAGCCTAGCCGAGAACGTGAAATCACGGTACCTTTGACTTATTGGGTCGCTTATAGCCTCGTTTTTTCCTAGTGGCTGAATGCGAAGTGCTGGACGAGCTCGGCTCGACCGATTTCACTTCGGTCATCTGCAATACTTTACTAAGATTTCCATCATAATAATTTTTTTACACACGCAGCTCACATCTGGAGGTTCCCGATTTCATGTCTGACGGTACTGTCCTATTCAGTACAAGTTAAATCTACATCTTAACAAATGTCCGCAATTCACACGAAACACCTGAGCCAGCGCCACAAATGTTCGCAGTTCACAAAAGATACCTGAGCAGACGACAATTTAGCAACGTCGCAAAACTGCTACATCAGTAGCGATATCGATTACCTTTTTACGAAATTAATCGCGGATTTATTGGGAAAGGGGCTCAAGGTAACCGGTTAGATGAATCAGGTGCCCACTGTTTCCAAACAGACAAGAGAT